TATAGTAGCCATCCCTGAGTCCACCGAACTTCTCCTGACCCGCAGTGTCCCATACATTGAACCGAATGGGCCCTCGATTTGTGTGAAACACCAGAGGATGCACTTCCACTCCAAGAGTGGCTGAAAAGAGACAAAACACAAATGCATGTCAATGAGTAGGCATTTGGGATCAGTTATGCCAACACATACCGACGTATTTCTTCTCAAACTCTCCGGTCAGATGTCTCTTAACGAAAGTAGTCTTTCCTGTGCCGCCATCGCCCACAAGAACGCACTGGTAGTCAACACAGACACAGATAATGGTTACAACGGTTAGTGACAATGAGAGCGCCGTTAGCTAATTGATGGCATACCTTAAAGGTGGGCATTCCGTCGCCTTCATTCACACCTGGAGTTTGCATGATTGGTGTCTGTGTGAAGATAATTGGTGGTGAAGTGGTGATCGCGGGATAATAGAGATGAATGAGTGGTCAGTAAATACAATGAATGCAATGCCGGTCAACACAACAGCAATGATAGCAATGATAGCAATGACTGCAATGAATACACGCTTTGTGTGGTGCGTGTCGTGTGAGAGCGCTGTCATCGCAGTGTTTGTGCGACTGCGCGACACTCAGCATAACGGCTATCATAACGAGAAATCTGACTATTTTTTAATTACCGGTAATTTAAAAGTCAAGACACAATAGTTAAAACATAGTCCTTGGGTGGGGGTAGGGGTAGGGGTAGGGGTAGGGGTGTGGACAGCAATTGAAATCATTTAATACAGTTTTTTAATGAATATAATTTTAATGATTCATACATTTAATGAAATCTAAAACAAGTACAGTATTTGTGATTAAAATATTAAAAACTGAATTAAAGATAGGTTTCAATTCCACTCATCGACGAGCGGTGTCTGGTCTCCTCTGACATTAGGGGTGTTAGTGTTGGGACTGATAGACATCTGGGAGGAGGCGCCCGGAGTGTTGTACAGCGGAGTCCTGTCCTTCACTTTTGGCTTCTGATTCCAACCCTCGGCAATAGATCCCCACTGCTGTCCACTGCGAGATCCGGGCCTTTGGTGGGAGGGTATGTTAGCGGGCGGGGGCATAGACCCGGGGGTATTGGCCTGATAATTGCGAGGAGTCGTCATATTTGGTGTCATAATAGGCGTCGCTTGAGAACCGCCGCTTTGGCCGTAAAAGCCACGCGAGTGACCACCGAATGGCGGCCCCATTGACGACGAGTGAGAGCCACTTCCGAACTGTTGGGCCGCCCCTCCAAACGACGGCGTCTGACCGGCCACTTGCGACAGAGCGTTGAACACATGGGTGGGCATAGAGGCGGCCGCGCGTTGAATGGCCTGCGGGTCGATGTTTGGAGTGCCCGTCGAGTTGATGAACGACGAACTGCCGGCCGGTGTTCTCACCACCGATGGAGTGGCGACTGGTGTTCGCGGGAAAGTCGACCTGTCGTTGAAGTGGAGTTTAAACCATTTGAAGAGTTGACTGACAGATCGGAAGGGTTGCTGCCGATAGCGATAGCCGTCGGGTGTAATAGTGATGTACTCGTGAAACGACTTCATGTTTGGCTGATATGACAACAAAAACTTCCCTGGATATTCTGCACACAATTACAAACAGTATTAAAATCATTCACTTCTTAAGCAAACAATTGTGACAAACCCTTAGATGCGGTCACAAAATACGGTATCCTTGAGGGCGCCTTCTTCTTCTCCTCCATCAACATTCGGTCCAATTCTTCGCGCTTTCCTTCGCTTTCCTTAAATGTCTTATAATTAGTCAGATCTCTGGCATNTCGTAAGCTGATCGGTGACCCGAACCTGGAGTTCGTGGCGATGCCAGCGCTGGCGCCCCCGGAGGTGCAGATGGATCCCGCGTGGCAGAAGAAGCTCGAAGAGGACATGATTCAGGCGCAGAACACATCACTTCCTGATGACGACGACGAAGACCTTTAATTCATTTCTATTCACTTATTCTGTACTCTATTTGATTGAATATATCGTCAAACAATGCTTTTCTCTTAAGATAATAACAAAATTACTTTATTTTTAAATACATTGTGTTTCGCAATTGAATTGCATTTCAAGTGATTCTCTGTTTAAATTCACATTAAATTTTGTAATTATTGTATGAATTGTTTTTCTCTCACTTTCCAATCAAAACCAAATGTCATTTCAATTAATAGTAGTTTTAAACACTGATTAAACTCGTTGTCATCAAAACAATCCTAAAATCTTGCGCTCCTTTTCCTCGCCGTGTATTTGGTGTCAGCCCTCACGTGCTTTCCCTGACGTCTTCGGCGCTCTTTCTTATCGAGTATCCATTGGCGAGACTTTTTCGGTGCTCTAGACGGCTGTCCCCGACCCGTGATCTCACGTTTACTACTGTAAGGAACGGTATTGTCGTTGGATTCGGTCAGTCCTTTAGGCAACTGTTGAGCGGTTCCGCCGGCGAACAGAACTAAAAACATTTTCTTGGCTTTAGTACTGTTGGGGAAGTCGACGACCAGTCCTCCCGTAAAGCCAGCTCTCATGGCCTGAGCGGTGATTAACTCGATTTGAGAGCCGTTTTCGGGATAAAACTGAAAGACTGCGCGACTGTTGCGACACAAACACGAGTACAACGACGAGAAGAACCGGTAGAGCCGTTGCACCGGAGAGTGAGTCGATTTGTCGGCATTACACAGCCATTGGATACACGATATACTGATCGCACCGTCGAAGGCACCCGCTCTGAAGGGAACTCCTTCTCCCAAATCACTTAACAATATGTCTCCCGATTCTGAACCACGACTTCGACACACATTAAGCATCGCTCGACTGATGTCCAGACCAACCCATGTGTGGCCCATCTCTTCCAGCACTTGACCGCTAAGACCTGATCCGCAGCTAAAATCAAATGACAATCAATTGATTAGACTATTAACTGATTGATCACTGATTGATCACTGATTGACTAAAACAAACCCCAAGTCTAATATAAGTCGTGGCGAGTCATCGGGAAGTGCTAACAGTTCAATGGCTCGACCACTCATCTGCGCCTGGATTGCGATCATCCGGGAACTAATGGGCGATACAATCAATGAGTCACTGCATCGGTGGTAAGCATTATATCATCCATACTTTGTCGTGTATTTAATGGCTTCGCTGTCATTGTAAAACTAATACAAGAAATGAAACCAATTGAGAGTGTATTAAGTGTTGATATGAGGCCATGACTTACGATCTCAGGCGGAGCCGAGTGTTCAGGTCTTCTGGAGGCCATCAGTTGATCCACAGATTGTGTCTCACAGTCAATGCAAACTGTATTTCAAACACATGTCATCACATTATACTAATATCCGACGCAAGACGGCGCTAATATCAGTGCCTTTCAGTGCAGCACTCAATGTGTTGGCAAAGCACGCGATACACAGCACTGGTTGCCATCTGTGGGTAAAGCACTGAACCATTCATTTCAAATCACATTTCACAGTAACTTAACGGTGAAGATGTCTTCACCACTCAATGTCCGCAATACTTATGGTAACTCTTATTATCACTCAATCCTTCCACTCATTGATAACTCTCTTAATGGCCAACAGATCCCAATCACATCATAGATAACACTCAAGACATTAGATCGTTGGACGATGTGTTGCGAGAGATCAACACAAGTGACAGTTTCGGTGATAACAGTGACAGCAAAGCGATGACCAAAACCAAAGACAAGAAGACAAAACTCAAACAAACCGGCCCTTCAATGAAGACATCGATGACAAGCGGCGGTGACAGTGGTGTTGATAATGGGGGCCAAAGATACAGTCGAGTCTTTCAGGTGATATACGGCGTCCATAAGCCCTATCGGAAGCACAAACAGTTCACATGCGATGGCTTTCTGGCGGTGTCTGTC